CAACACAACTTGTCCTGAATTTTTAATTGTGGAGCTGCTGGTCCTTTGCAGGGTGAGAATCCTGCCTGGGTGTGAGCCCTGCGTGTGCCATTCCCTACTTTGATTAATTAATGTTTTGTTCCCAAATTTGTCAAGTTCAGCTGTTTTTTTTTGCACAGATCATGCTCCCTAAGCAATTCTTTTGCTGTGTCTGTGGTACCTCAGTTCTATAAGTAGCACCAAGAGCAGTGTTTGACCACTCCAAATTTTCTTTTTTAGACTGAACTCGGCCATATCAGACCCTGCACATTTCCAGGGCAGTCAGCTCATGGTGCTTCGTGCTCTGCCCATATCATCCCTCAACTCATTTGTTTTGTTGGGTTTTAAAGTTTCTAGTTTTCCTAGAAAAACTGCAGACAATTAACTTGTCAAGACAGATGGCGATGATCTATGGTGCCTATAAAAATTTGCACATCGTATTCCTTGACATGAAATATGGGCTATTTCTGTTGGTGTAGCAATACTTGAGCCAGTCTCTTTTTTGCTGGCTGTGTCAAGGAGCAAGGGCTGAATCCTTCTCAAGATGTTTYTTTTCCTTCCATTCAAGAGGAGTAGAAGGATTTGCAGCAGAAGCAATGGAAATGTCAGCTCGGTGTGGGGGTTTTTTGGCAACTTCAGCTGAGAAATGTTGAGGAGTTTTTCCCTCATTAAGGATTAATAGATGCTTCTGACAAATTACAGAAAACGCTCTGTGATATGAATTATCCAAGACTGGTTAAAAGATGTTGTCAGTCCCTTTTCCAGAAGACTTGGCTTCGTGCTGGAGGGTAAATACCTCGACAAGAGMAGCTGTAAAGCCATGGAGGTGCTCCCAGTGAGACTGGTGATACTGGGCACGAAGCTGAGCCACAGCCCGGGGTGCAGCCTTGCCAACAGGATTGTGCTGCTGGTTCTGTTACAGAGAAAACAGCCCAGAAATCCCAGTTTATTCCCTTCTCTGCATTTCTTTGTAGAAAGCAGCCAAGCAGCTCCGTGTTGGATGGAGGGTGGGCACGTGTGATGGCTGCGAGCCTTGAATTGATGTTCAACAGCTCCACTGGAGCCYGAGCATCCATCAAGAGTGACAAAGAAACGGCCACATCCTCTGCTGCAGTCAGAACAAAGTTGTGACACTCTTCTCTTGTCCCCTGGTGCCAGTGGGAAGGGGAATCATTGGGATGGATGTGTTCAGAGCCCCAGGGATGGGGTGTTCATGGCACAGCCCCGTGCTCCTGCAGTTAAATCACAGACTGTGCAGGCTCCAAGGGCCAGGGAATGCTCGTTTTTGGTGAAGTTTAGGCTGAGGTTTGTTCTCTGACAGTTTCTGCCCATTCTTAGGTGTTCCTGGCATGTTCCTGCCCTGGCTGTGAATCCCCAGTGCCCTCCCCAGGGTTGGCAGTGCTGCAAACTTCTCCTGACCCCTGGACTGAGTGTGTTCCTCAAGGCCCCTCTGCAGCAGGACTGGGGATCTCATGGAAGGGGGAACATTCCCAGATCTTTGGGACATTCTGGAAATCACTTCCACAGCCACCAGAGCGAGGAGAAAAAAGTGATGTCCACAAGCAAGTCACAGAGTGGAAAGGAATTGGTGAAAAAATGGAGTAAATCAGTGAATAGCTGTGAATTGTGTCAGGGTGATCCCACACCTGAGTGTCCTGTGTGTCCAGGTGTGGGCTGAAGGAGGATCAGGGGTGTGCACAGGGATTTTTGGGTTCAATTCTCTCTCTCTCTGCACCCATCTGGCACAGCTCCTCTCCCACCCGCGGGTGCTGGGCTGTGCCTGTCCCTCRCTGCGGATGAAGGGTGTTCAGGAGCTCAGTCACTGCTGAGCAGGCAGTTCTCCTCTTCAGGGTTGCTTGTCTGACACCTTTTCTGCACATTAAATTCACACAACACGGCGTTTAAAAACAAGGGAAGCAGATTCCCYCGGCGCCTCGCAGCAAATCTTACATAAACAGAAACCTTCACGTCTTGYGTTGTCTGGGATTTCACACTTGGGCTGGGGCAGAGTGGAGCAGCCCAAATCCAGCACTGGGACCTGGGCAGTGCCCTGGGGCACCCTGGGGTGTCCTGAAGAGGGGACAAGAGCTGATGTTGGGTTAGGGAGTGCCCAAGGGGTTGTGACAGAAGGTGTCCCTGGTCCTGGTGGTGGCAGGACCAACSCTCAGGATTTTGTGGTGGCTGCTGCTTGGTCCTTGTTCTGCAGATTGATTTGCCTCTCCCTCTCTCTGGTCCCAGTTCCCACTCAGTTCTTGGGCTGTGTCCCAAACCCTCGAGTGCTCCTGTGGATTCCCATCCCTGCTTGGCTCTGGTGACTCCCTGTCCCTGAGGAYGTTTCCTTCCCATTTCCATGATACATTCCTGAAGTTTTGGTGCCTCTTCCCTGCCATTTGCTCAGCTGAGCGAATAAAAACTGAACCTGCTTACAGCTCCCTCCAACATTATATTCCTTTTCCTTTATGGAGGCCAATTCCTTTTATTAACTCTCTTAAAACCCATTATCAGCTCTGGCAGAACAAACCTGCTGYAGGAGCAGAGCCCTGCCCACCCTGAATACCAATGGCCAATTTCAGCACTTTTTAATATCTGGAGAAGAAAATGAAGTTATCCACGTGCTATCGGTCTGGCAGAGACCATAGAGAGCAGGGAGTGATCACAAAGCCTCAGCCTGGAGCAGAAAGAGAATAAAACTGGGAGTTTTAAGAGCTTTAGGAGGCATCTGGCTGAGCTGCCTGAGCTCTGGCTGCGGGTGTGGGATCTCCACGCTGTGAGCTGTGTATTTGCTCTGCCTCGTGAGTAAAGTGAGCCCAGAGAGGCTGTAAAACCTTGGATCCAGCCCAAACCCCAGCACTCACCAGGATTCTTTCCATTGCCCTGCCTGGGGCTTGGATGAAGCGGATCAGGAGCGTGCAGGAGGTGGGTGAGACCTTCCAGGCCGTGTTTATCTGAAACTGGATATCAGGAGAGGGACTGAGCAGCGTCTTGGCTGGGCACAAAGTTGGCTCATCAGGATAAAAACCCACCTGGAAATTGGGTTTTTTTTTTGGCCAGGAGAGGCATTGCAAGGGAGGGATGGAAGGGTGTGGATGGGTGAGGAGCTCCCTGGGGACACAGGACAATCCTCTGCTTTGCATGGGGTGATAAATTCAGCCCCCTGTCCCCAAAAATGGCTCTTCTGAACCCATGGCATGATGATGATGATGATGATGATGATGATGATGATGATGATGATGATGATGATGATGATGATGATGAGCTGCAGTTCCTGCCAGCTCAGATTGATCTCTGCCGTGTAGGGTTGGATGTCCCAGCCCTGAGGTCGGCACCGACTGTTTCCCTTTCTGCCAATGCTTGTAAAGGATCTCCCTAGAAACTGGCCTCTGTTTTCCTGAACAATGAGAATGCAAATGAAGYGTGTCAGCTCTGTACCCAAAAATAAGATTTCAAAACCATTTAGCATTTCAGAGTGGCTCTGTGACAACGTGAAGACTTGCAGTTGTCTCTCATGATGAGAGACAGGCAGAGCTCCTCAGCTCACACTCAGATCTGAGCGCCAATGAGTGCTTTAGCCCAAAACTTTATAATATATGGGTTATTTGTAGTGCTTTTCAACTTCAAAGAGCTTGGAAAACATTAATGCAACTTCACAAAAGGCTTCTGTTCTCGCTGCCACTCTGCTGATGGGGAAAATGGAGATGAGCCCGAGTCTGGCTGGGGCTGCTGGGGCTCAGCCCGCMCCGATGGCAGCACTGAACCTCTGGGGAATTCCTCCGGATGTTTGAACACACCATCATTTCAGACCTCTTCAAATTGACCTGAGAWTTTTTGTTACAAATTCTGTTTCTCTTTAGGTTTGTGGACAGCTGAACACAGAGGGAAAGGCACTTCAGTTCCCTTTCCTCCTGATTTTTAAATTACCGAGTGAAACGACTCCACTGCAAACCGCACGCTTTTTCCTGCTCGCGGGTAAAATGCTGAGCAGATTCTGAAAATTGAACTGGAAAAAAAAAACCCTAAAGAAATAAAGAAAAACCATCCCACCTCTTGATGCTGGGGTGCCCTGAGAGTGAAAAGGTTTGGCTGGAGGGGCTGGGGATGCTGATGGTTTGATTTGGGTTCCCCAGCACCAAAGCAGCCCCACAGCATCCTCCAGCACTGCCCGGGGGCTGCACCTCTGCTGCAGCAGCACCACAGAGCATTCCTGGGGCTGATCCTTCCCATTGGGGCAATTCCATGCTCTGAAGGCTTTTCCTGAGCTGCCCTTTCTGTACCCACGTGCAGGAAGCAAAGGAAGCCACTCCAAAAATCCACGGCAAGGGACAAACGAGAGCTCGGTGCAGCGAACCGGCACCGGGACCCGGCAGGATCCATGGGCCGAGTGATTCATCCCTCAAATAATTCCCACAAAATCACGCTGCTGGAAGATTATGCTTTTTATTAAAGGAAAATATCACCCTTCGTGTTCAGCACTTCTCGCTTTGCCATTGAAGTCGAAGCAAAGCAAAAAGCTCTGTTTTGTGGGGTTTTACGCTCGATTCGGAAGGATGGAACTGCAAGGTGTAAATCTGGAGGGGAAGTTTTCACCCCAATGCTGCTCAAAGTTCTGTTTTGTTTTTATTTCAGATGTTAGTTTGCTAGAAGAGCATGAGGATCTCCAGCTTATTCTGGAGAGAGGAGCTAACCCTTCTGAGGGAAGGAGGGTGGCATAAATGGGGACAGTGACTCCCCACAGTCTCTCTCTGACCAAGTAAGGTATAAAATCCTGATATCCCTCAGGGATCTATGCCCAGCTACACCAAACATCTTCTCCACAACAAAGCTGTCTCCTCTGGGCACAGAGCTGGCTTGGGCACAGATTTCCCTTCAACTGCATCAGCACAGGGCAGCCCCAGACTGGCACAGAGCGGTGCCATTCACACACACCCGTGATGGTGTTGAGCGGTCTTTCTGCTTTCTTAAAAAATGAAAAAAAGACTCAAAAAAGAGAGAAAAAAAAAAGAAAGGAAAAATAAGAGAGGAAAAGAAAAAGAAAGCAACAATTGCAATCGAACATGCCTTGGTTCAGTAATGACTCACTCAATGGAGAGCACATTGTGTAGTGAGACCCAGACATTTTAAAAAATAACAAATCTTTTCAGAACACTTTCTGGATATTTTTTTTTTTTTTCCGTGGGTGCAGGGATCATCAGTGCTCCGGCTCTGCATCCATGCAGGTCTCCCAGGGGTTCTGGGGGAAGCGGGGCAGCGCGATGAGGAGGAGGGCGATGCCGCAGACGAAGAGCAGCACGAAGGAGGCGCAGGCACAGGCGAAGGACCACGAGTAACTGTACTGGATCCACGCTGTCTCCTTGCTGTCAATCATCCTCTTCACCGATTGTCTCATCACTTCAACTGAGATGATGATGCAGAGACCTGAAGGAAGAGAGGAGCAGTGGGTTGAATAACCAGCTGTCAATTTTTCATCCTTAATTAACCGCCTCATCTGTTGTTTTGCGTGCAGGAACTGCAGTGRGATTCACAGGTGAGTCACTGACTTCGGCTCAGAACTGCCAGGAGCTCTGCCACAACCCGGGTCAGCCACTGAACTTGGGGARTGTGATCTTTCCTGGATGGGAAACTCAGAGTGGGGGAGGAATAATTGCATTCCCCAGGGAGCTTTTTCAGAGGTTGAGGAAGATTTTACATTGAGGTGACAATTTGCCCCTCTGCCTTTCACTCGCTGTGGCACCTCAAGGTATTCCTGGCTCACGTAGAAGTGCAGTGTTTGTGTCTTTGGGAGGCTGTTGTGTATTTTGGGCCTGGATTTTGTTGGTTTTGTTGCCTCTTTGGGCCATTTTGTTGGTTTGAGAGAGAAAATTGTGCAGCCCCGGTTCAGACTGGGGTTAGCAAAGGGGATGAATAAACTTTTAAATGGGATTGGAGAAAAGACAAACCAGAATTACTGCTGGGTAATCCCCCTGAACAGGGTGTTCTCACACCACCTGGAGTGTGTGGCCGGGACAAAAACACTTTCAGTGCGTTTTTAGAAGAGTTTCCATCCCCCTGCATCTATTTGAAGTTTCTCTGTGCTGTCCTATGAACCAAGTGAGCCAGGTGAGCAGCCCTGTGGGTACCTGCAAAGGTGTAGAACATGGATGCTGGCTTCAGCAGGTAATCCCTCTTCTTCCTGAAGGACAGCAGCACGCAGATCGTCCCGATGATGGCAAAGCCCACGCTGAAGATGGACATGGCTGCGGCTGAAATGCTGTATTCTGCCCAAGGGAGCAAAAATAACAACAAAAATGACACAGTGAGCACGTTTTGAGCCTCCTGCCATCAGCAGGAGAAGAAATCCTTCCCACTGCCATCATCACTCTGAAAAATACCTGGGGCCAGGAGCTTTGGTGAATTATTTCCCTCAAGTGGAAACAGGGGMAAGTATTGGCTGTGTATTTTTGAATGTGAAGGGTACAAAATCAGAGMAGGAGGGGGAAAACTCTTTCTGAGCTCTTCCTGAATGACCCAGGGCTCTTTTTGCCCACTTGTCTGGGGCTGATGGAGCGCTGGGCTGGAGCTGTGTCYGTGTCATTGTTCAAACCTTGCAGGGCCCCTTCCCTCACTCCCAGAGCAAGCAGACAGCTCTCTGCTGTTTTTATTCCTTTGCCTTTATTTCCAACTCTCTGAAACCCCACCTTCTTCAGGGCACAGCATTCAACCCTCCCCAAAATCCTGCTTTTTGCCAAGGCTTTGCTGGACRCTTCCCCCAGCCCCAGCACTGCTCAGCGCCTGGGTGGAGGGGGAGAGTTGTTAATTGAGTAATTCCAGCCTTCATTTGCATGTTGTGCTCGTTTTCAGATTAGTTTAATATTTAACACATGTAGCCATGCATGAACATCACAGTGCCTGATGATATTTGCCTTTCAAGCCATTGAAAAAAAAATATCTCCCAGGCAAAATCATGAAGAATTTTTTTTTTTTTGCCTGTTACTAATTAGCTCCCATCCAAATGAGCTATTTCTGTGAAGGGGAACAGCAGATCACTCTTTGTTCTCTCTGCTTTCCATATCACTGTTTTATTATCACTTCCTAAATGTTTCTCTTTTCTCTGTGCTGGAACTGCCTGAAAGTGTTCGTTTCATTGCAAAATCATCTGCTGGGCTTAAGATTTTCTTTTTGCCCCAAAGAAAAGAAGTTCCTCCTGATTTTTTTTTTTTTTTTCTGATAAAGAAGTTCTTCCTGATTTTTTTTTTCTGCATTGCCCTGAAGGCACTGGGTGCATTTTGAAGATCAGGTAGCAGATAAGTGAGCAAAGGCAGGTGACTCAGATAAAAGTTTTTCTATCCAGTTAAAATTCCTGTCTTTCCTGTCTTAGGAAATGACTTTTTAGGGAACCCATCTCCAGGGTTTTCCACTAGAAGCAAAGCAGATTAATACACGCGGTGTAACCATTGGCTCTTATTTTCCACAGTAAATCTGTTTTGTGGCAAACTGGGAAGGAGTTTGTCCTCAAAGAGAGGATGAGGAAGAGAGAGGAGCATGTTAGGGGAGCCCTCAAAATGTTTGGACTGATTAAAAACGTGAAATTTATCCGTGAAGGACCATTTTACTGTGAACACTGACAGTTCATGTCTTCGTGGGATCCCTTTCCTTCCACCCATCGATCGCTCCATTTTTTACATGACTTTCATGTCAAATCAATACGAAGCATAAAATTCCTAATGGTCTTCAGAGAGCCTCTGCACTTCTTTGCAGGGTCARGCCTCTGCCTGGGCTATGATTTATTCATTTAGGTTTTATTAATATCTTCCCCTTCGATGGCAAGGGCTGAGTGTCACGGGCAGTGCCGATGTTTTAAAGTCATTTTTATCCTGAAAGGACTTTTTACAGTTTTCCTGCGTATTGACATTGTTATATATTCCTGGGACAACTTATGTAAAATCATGTTTATGAGTGTGATCATATAGAAAAATCATTGTCCCCAGAAAGCTGGGATTTGACCTTGTCCAGGGCATTTTCCAGCCCATTTTCCATTTTTCCCAGCTGATGGTGCCAGTTAAAAATTCTGCTGYTTTCAGTGGAACCAGGGCTGAGCCCTCATTTTGGGAATCATTTCCCCTTAGCTCCTGTGTCCCCATCACTTCATACAACATTAAGAAAATACATTTTTAAAATCATTCTCACCTTTCTGGGTGGTCACTTCAAATATCTCCGAGGTCTCTCCTGGAGTGAAGTGCTTGAAGTAGGAGCAGTTGTGGTCTGAAAGAGAAAAGGAAATTCCATTTTTTGCACTTGGAAACCTCCAATGAGATGCAGTAACACTGAATTATTTTTTTTATTGACATTGATATTGATATTGATATTGATTCTGATATTGATATTGGTATTGATGTTGATATTGATATTGATACTGATATTGGTATTGATATTGATACTGATGTTGATATTGGTATTGGTGTTGATATTGATATTGGTATTGATATTGGTGTTGATATTGATATTGATATTGATATTGATGTTGATATTGATATTGATATTGATATTGATATTGGTATTGATATTGGTGTTGATATTGATATTGGGTACCACATTTGCAGTGGTTTTGGGGCTCGCTGCCCTCAGTGATCCCGAGGAACTGGAGCTGGATGGGATTTCCTCAGGAGCAGATGAAGACACTGAGCACTGATCCCTTTTGTGCCTTTGAGCTTTGCACTCTGATTGCTCCTCTGTTTAAAACACAAATTACAGATGATTTTTYTCCTTCTGTCTTTGCCCATCCCATGTTTCTGCCTCTCGGTGTTGCTGCATTTCCTGGGGTTGGGAGCTCCCCTTACCCACCCCATTGGGATGTGGGACCTGGGAGCCCCAAAAGCGAGGATGGGGTGTCCTCATCCTCCTCAATCTCCTCAATCTCCTCATCCTCCTCATCCTCCTCATCCTCCTCATCCTCCTGGCTCTCCCCTCCCCCAGCTCACAGGTTTCTGGGGGTGATTGCTAACAGGGATCCCAGAGCTGAGGCAGCTGCGGTGCAGCAAAGCTCAGGGTGCTCTACTAAAATAGGGACTCCGAGGCATTGTGGTTTTTTTTTCTTTTTTTTTTTTTTTTTTTTTTTTTTTTTTTTTTTTTTTTTTTTTTTTTTTTTTTTTTTTTTTTTTTTTTTTTTTTTTTCTGTCAATAAAAAAAGACCAAAGTGAAAAAAGAGCAAAGCTTTTTGAATAGCCCAAGCAGTTGCCCAGGGAAGGGAAGGCCAAAGGCAAAGAGGCTCTCACGCCAGGTTTTATCCAAGTTTGATCCCATCAGAGCAGCCCATTCAGTGAATTTGATGAGACAGAGTCAGAGCAGGGGAGCTTTATGAAATTCCTCTGTCAGAACCCCCCATGAGCACCGTGCCAGGTACAGGGGGATCAGATTGTGGGGCTGGGGGAGATGGGGACAGGGAATTGAGCAGCTGAGTCTCTCCATGTGCTCAAACTCTCCCTGCTCAGCCCGGGCAGAAATGTCACTGCTGTCACAGGGGAATTGCAGAGGGGTGGGAAGGGTCTGTGAGGAGCTGCTGACTCGCAGCTTTGGCAGCAGCAGGGTGAGGGTGGAGGGTGTTCTTGCTATTTATAACAGATTTAATTGAGGCTTGGGAGGGCTCTGGAGCTGGCACAGCAGTTGCTYGCCAGGAATTCGGCCGGGAGGGTGCACTGAGAGCGGTGCCAGCCTGGCTGGGGGGACACACTCAGCACCCCCTGGGACCCCAAAAAACAGAGCCAAGGCTGCCTGGAGCACAAAATCAAGCTTGGTTAATGCCAGGGTCACTGAGTGAGCCCCAGCTTCCCGAGGAGGAGCCTGGCAGGGCACTGGGTGCAGGATCCTGCAGGGAGAGCTGTGGGTTTCTGCCCTGGGCACACAGAGGTTTCAGGGGTTCCTCACAGCATTAAATCCTCTGGCAGAGGATCCCAGTGCTCTCTGCTCTACCTGTTGATTTTTTTTTCTGTCGTGGAAGTGGCGGCTGCTGGAGTTGGTGACTCAGGGAGGGATTTCTTTTCCCACTCCCAGGAGATGGGTAATTGCAAAGCAGCRTTTTTGGGCCTGTTAGTGGAAGATTCCTTCGAGACACTCTTAGCTACTTAAGTCTATAAGCTGACTTTTATTTCATCTGCAGATTCTCCTYGCTGCAGACGAGGTTAATGTTTAGCTCTGGTGTCTCCTGACCTGTTCTTTATTATCTTTGCAAACGACTGCAAGAAATAATTTGATCTCAGCCCTCTGTGCCTCTAATTGTGAATTTTGARCCTCAAAGCAGTGGTTTTGTGACTCCACCAGCGACTCAGGCTGGCCGAGGCTGAGCATTGTGCCTGGGACACTTCATTTTGAGATTGTTTGGTTTAGTTTTCATTAATTCCCTGCAAAGCTGAGCCCAAAGGTGTCCCCAGGTGTGCAGTGAAGAGGTGAAGGCACAGATTTGGTGTGTAGGAGCACAGGGGAGCTGCAGGGATCCCAACCAGCCCAGCCCTCCATCCTCAGAACCTCTCTGAGCTGGGTTTGTCTGCAGGAGATGGAGCTGCCTCTGTCCCTTGTGGCTCTCAGCAAAGCTCTCCAAGGTGTGATAAAAGGGGTCATGGCACGGACAGGTTGATGTTTTTGAAGAATGCATTTGTTGTGGGGCAGTCTGACCAGCCTGATGGGGGTGAAATGCTCTGCTGTTTGCAGTTTTCAGGTGTCTCAGCTCTGCTGAGCTGGGGATATCTGTTTCAAGTCCGTTATTCAGCAGAACTGAGGCCCTGCAGTGACTCTGGGGCCGTCATGAATAAGAGAAAAGCCCATTTCTGTCACAGCAGGTTTGCATAATAGATGGGATTTACACTGGGGCTGGGAATGGATGAAAGCTTGGTGCAATCTTTGTTCCTCTCCACCCCGATTGCATTTTCTCTGCCACGAGGTCACCCCGGTGCTGATGGGGACAGGCCAGGGGCTCTGTGCTCACATGAACTTTAGGATTGTGATGTGTTTCATCCCAGAGTGTCCTCACCCCTCCCAGCCTTCCTGCTCCTCCCCTTCAGATCCATCACTCCGGGATGCAGGAGAAGTGCAATCCCACTGAACTGTGGATGAACCTTGGARAGCTGCAGTTTGGAGATTTTGGGAGGGAAGAAAGGGTGGAAAGGCCATGAGCTGCGTGGGCCCTGCAGAGTTTTGGGTGTCAGCTTGTCCTGTGAGCACTGGGGTGACAGACAAAGGGCTGGAGCCCACCTTGTCTGGAACCTGAGCTGGATGCAGCACAGAGAGGTTTGGGACAGGGAGGGGGGCAGAAAATCCTGGGGTTTAGTGTGGGGTTTCACTTGTGATGAGTTTGGGAAACAAGAGGTTGGAGGAGGAGGCGAGGTGAGGGCTGGGCAGTGGAGGGGTCAGACCTTGTGCTCTGCCTGGTCAACACACGGGGTTTTGGGGATGATCTCTCTGAGCAGTTTAATGTCACACCTGTCCCCTGTAACAGGGACACACAGCTCCTTCGCTCTCCAGCTGCCTGCACTCAGGTTCCCGTGTTCACCAGGACCTGCTGGACATCCCTGCTGCTGCCCAGAGCACAGGAGCCACTTCTCAGGACACCACCAGCCCAGGAGTTACGGGCAGTGATCCTGGACTCAGTTTACAACCAGCAGTAAAATGCCCCGGTGCCCCCCRACCACAGCTAAAAACGTCTCAGTATTAATCTGGATTTGCCTGGTTTTAACAGCCATCTCCCTGATCTTTTTATTTGTTACAGCAGGATGCTGAACCCTTTTCAATTTGTCAACACCCTCGGATAGGTGCTGTAAAATTTTAAAGCTCTGCCTAAATCACAGCCCTGCTTTGTGGACTGCRAGAGCCGAGTCATCCTCCCCTCTCTGCACCGTGCTGAGCTCAAAACCTAATAAATAACGTTAATCACGCCATCCATTTCCTCCACAGGGAGCGACTGGTAAATGGTTATTAATTCTGTGATAAATCCTGATGCCTCTTTCCCGGTGCTGGCAGTAATGTCTGGTGATGTCTCATGATTTTCAGGAAAAGCGGCGCCCGCATCTGCTCTTTTACAGCGCGCTCGTTCCATTCACATTTCCTGGGCTGCTGAAGGTTTCACAGCCGCGGTGTTTCCCTGCCCACACCCCTTYCCTGAGGTGTGAAATCAATCTAACAGGAGCCGTGCGGCCACAGCTTCGCTCWGCCCCGGGGTTCTGTCCCCTCTCCYGGCTCTGATCCTTTCCCCACTCCAACAGGGATGAAGGAATTTCTGTTATAACCGAGGTGCCAATTCCACCGCCACAGGCTACAATCTAAATCCCCAGATCTCTTTAAAGCCTGGATGAAGCAGCTCTGGCTCAGGGGACAGCCCAGCCCCTCCACAATTCCCATTTATTCCGTGGCGGGCGGAATGCGGCGCTGGATGTGATTCACCGTCTGTGCGAGCACATGCTGATGTCTGTCAAAGATAGCGGCCGCTCTGCCTGCGAATCTGCTTTGTGCAGACAGCTGGATATTTATGAGTTTTATATTTACCCYCACGGTCGTGAGGTTTTGCTGTTTATCCGCTGATTTCTATTGTTTTTTTGCCCTTTGGTTGGGGCTCTCCGTGCGCCAGGGAAGGCGTGAGGAGAAGGAATAAAGGAATAACATCTCCAGGCACCTCAGTACCTTCCTGAGAGACATTAAACACATGGATAACACGCTCCCAAGTTTGGTTAGAGGCAGATCCGCACACCGAGGCTCAGCCCCTCTCTTCACAAGGCATAATTTGGCCGAAGAGATCACGAATTGCAGCAATASAGGCAAAATACAGTCAGCCCAGGCAGGAGGATTTTTCACAGGAAATTTTCAAATACGTGTTAACATATATTTCATTTCAAGCGGCGAGTCTAACGCGAAGGCAATCCTGTTATTTCTGTTCTGGAAAGCATCCAGTACCCTCTAAGCCTTCTAAAAAAGCACAGAGGGAGTGKATCAGAGTGGATGTTGCTGACTTGGCAATCGGCACCGACATAATGAGCTCCTTTAACCGCGGCGATGGAGCAGCGTTCCCGGAAAGCTGCCGTGCCCATCGATTGGGCTGCAGGTGGGACGTGTGTGGGAGCAGGTGAGCAGGCTCCCTAAGTCCTTGAGAAATTGATTCCAACTCAAGTTTATGACTTTTTTTTTTCTTTTTTTTTTTTTTTATGATACGGCGACCGCGGCGATGGAGCAGCGTTCCCGGAAAGCTGCCGTGCCCATCGATTGGGCTGCAGGTGGGACGTGTGTGGGAGCAGGTGAGCAGGCTCCCTAAGTCCTTGAGAAATTGATTCCAACTCAAGTTTATGACTTTTTTTTTTTTTTTTCTGGAGGTTGGGAAGCCGTCATGCAGGCCTCTCTCCCTCGCTGCCCTGAGGAATGATTGTTGGAAAAGCTCGGAGATAACCCAGCACCCACCRTGGATGGGCTGCTCCTCTGGCATTRCRTGGATCTGGAAATCCTACAGATCCAGCTGTGTTTGGCGTGCCCATCAATCCTCTCTCTTGCTCTCTGCTGTCAGCGTGCCTGCAGGACCCTTGGCTGGGCTTCAGCGAGATTCCCTCCATCCCAATTTCTCTTTGTGATTCCCACTGCGCCCGATCCTCCTCCCCTGCACTCAAATATGGTCACAAACACACAAGGGCAGCAGAGCCAAGCAGYCCCAGCGGGAGGGACAGCAGCAAGGGGGGCTTGCAGCCCAACACTAAAACAGCCCTGTGCACCCCGTCCCAATTTTCCCTCCTGCCATGGGGGGCTCGGAGCCTGTTTTTTCTTWTTGCCACCAAAGCAAACCCTGTTGGGATCCTGGCTCTTCTCCCSTGAGTTCTCACCTACCTCCTGGCAGGCTGATGGGCCCGCAACTCTTCTCCCGGTGTCCCCGCTCCTGCAGGACGATCCTCTTGGTGCACAACCTCCAGAGCCCGAAATGCGCCGCATCGCAGGCCGTGCTGTTCTCCTCCACRCTGGGGCTGAGCACGGCCCAGTGGTCAGTGACCACGGCGGCGAARAGCAGCGAGACACCCAGCAGGATCACGGAGAAAGCCAGCCGGACCTTCAGGGGTTTGTTCTGGTCCATCGCGCTCCGGACGGGACGGGCGCTGCTGGCGGAGCGCGGCGGGCGATTCGCGAGGKTTCCCAAAATGCTGGCGCATCTGAGCGCTCGGAAATGTCAGCCCCGAGTCKCGGGCAGCTGCTGGGCTCTGTCAGGAGGCTCCCAGAGCTCGGCTCAGCTTTCCGCCCCGTCCCACCCGCCTTGTTTTGGATTCCCACGCCCGGCCGGGCGGGCGCTCGCCGGAGCGGCCGCAGCCGCCGCTCAGGGGCTGAGATCTCTTGACTTGCGGCATGCCCAGAAATAGGCATTAATAGGATGATTAACTTTTCAGCGGGGTTATAAAAACATCTGTGTTTATAATAGCGCTGGGCCTGAGCTCAGACTGATCCTAAACAGTTTAATCGCCCTGGAGCTCGCTCAGTCCGCGCCTGCAGCCTGGGGCAGCCCCTGCACGGAGCTCGGGGCTGGACGTGTCCCCAGAGCCCAGCACTGTGGCAGAAAGTGATAAAATAAGCCAGCTAGTTTATTTTATGATTTATTTTTATTAGGGCTATTTTTATTCTGTGTTTGTATTTTAATTATTTTTAATTAACCTGAACTATTCTGAGTAGCTGAGGTTTCTTTTAGTAGATTATGTTTGTTTGGGGGGGTTTCTTTTTTTTTTTTACTTTTGGGGTTTTATTTTAGTTCTTTTGTATATTTTTTCCTCTTTTTCTAATGCAAAATCTCTCGAATACTTGTTTGCTTTCCAATCAACCATCCCCTCAATGCCTGCAGTAACTCCAGCAGCCACCCAACACATCCATTCCTTCTTCCAGAAGYCTTGCCTTGCCCAGATTGCTGGGGCTGGGCCAGCCTCCCTCCTTGCCTTTGATATTTCAGCTGATTGTAAAGCCAATTTGATGGTAATGTCAATGCAGAGGCCACTGTGGAGGTGACATTACAATTGTGATGTCAAACTGAGGAGGGTGACAGCACCTGAATGTTAAAAGAATGGTTAAAAAAATGCCAGTGGAGAGCTGCAAATATCATTGTGTCAAGATAATGTCAGAGCTACTCCAGTCCTGCTTTATTAACACACCCGTTTGATGTCAAAATAAAGGTGCAGAGGTGTCAGCTCAAGATGATGAGGGACAATGTGGAACAAGGAATTGAGGTGTAGGGAGAGCATRGGAAAGGGAGAGAAAATTAAGGGTRAGTTGAAAAATGTTGGTCCAAAATCACTGTAATTGAAATGTGACTTAGAGTGGTTAACATTTCTCTTTGATGTGTGACAGAGTGGCACAGACACCCCTGAGGAACAGGGGGATGTGTGGGCACCCAGGATGGCATCTGGTGCYCTGTTCCTGCTGGGTGTGGGAGCAGTGGGCAGGAGTGAAGGAACTTGGGTGAAATGGAATGGGAAGGGGATCACGGAGAGCAGAGGGGATGTGGAGCAAGGCAGGGATCACAAGAACCCGTGCTGGGGCTGGCAGGGATATCACAGRCTTTCACTGAAACCAGAACCAAGASTTCTCAGGAAAGCAGCAAGGCCTAAAGGGAGCAGACTTTAAGCCAGGAAAGAAATGCATTAAAGATGTAATGCCTTCTCCTTTGAAGCAGGCTCTTGTTCAATTCCAGCAGACATCAGTCGATGTCAGGAGCTGCAGCAGTTCCTCGGTCCTGCAGACTCCACAGGTGGAGCAGAGGGAAGGGGATTTGTGTTGACAAATGTGGCCACAAAGAGAGGCTCTGGCTGCTGAGGCACCAAGTGCTAATGATCCTACTTTAGACTAATTACAACCTACAAGGACTGCAGGGGTGGGAACTCATTAATTTTTTCGCTGGTGTTGGTCTTTGTGCCTCTTCCAGTGCTGGCAGGAATTGCACCTTTTGTTCTCGTTTCGATCGAGTTCTGTGGGGTTGGTTTGGCTTTGAGTTTCCCAATTTCCAGGAAACGACTGGAGTGAAATCAGAAGGGAATAATTGATCCTCAGAAGGGAATAATTGATCCTTCTTCACTGCTGAGTGGAGCTGGGAGTGTGAATGGGCTGTGAGGAGCCCCAGCATGGGCAGCCGTGGCTCCCTGAGCTCAGCTGAGTTGAAACACTGTCCCCAACCCCAAAAATGTCCTAAAGCTGCCAGCCCGTGGGGAAAAAAGGGGTTTTGTGGATTATTTGTGGGTGTTGAGGGATTGAGGAGACCCGCCTGCATTGCCCCAGGGTGGTGAGACCTGCAGGGTCGGGGTGGGCTCTGCACAGTGAATTCCTGGGAATGCCCCCTCTGAAAGCTCCCTGATTCTGGGGCTGAAATCATGGAAGGCCAGAGCTCAATCTGTGGGTTTTTTTGGCTGGCTATTTTATTTTYCAATAGATCCCACACCGCTGTGTGTAGCTGGCCATCCCTGTTGCCCCTGTGACCGACTCACATCCCCGTGCTCCCAAAATACCTCCGGCCGTGCTGGGGAAAGCGATCCCCGCGCTCCGGGGGCTCGGCAGCGCCGGCTGAAAGTCGAACTGCACCACAGACAGCTGCAGATCCTCCTGTTCCCTTCCAGATCCTGCCCTGCCCCTGTTTGTTGGTTTGCTCATTCCAAGGAAATGCCACATTCTCTTTTTGCCGCTTTCTGAAGCCTTAAGGCCTCTCTGGCTCTGCTTTTCCCTTCCTCAAACGTTGACACTTTTCCCCGACACCGCTGCTCACAGCGGGGCAGCCGCAGCTCCTGGAGTCACCATCTACCCCCAGAATTGCTCATAAATGTGGGGAAAACATTTATTTATTTCAGTCTAAGGGAAGTAGCTTTGGGCCTGGGCTTTAAATGGCTCCACGAGGCAGAATGCCTCCCTCCAGACGTGCCAGTTCATCATAAACCTGGCAGAGGTGGATGAGACAGGCAACCAACCCTCATCCTTGCAGGAGGCTGAGGAGCTGGGAGGTGAAGGTRAAAGAAGGATTTGGAGAAGAAATATTGGCTCTGATGGGATGGTTGGGGATGTTTGGGAGCGGGGAGAGGCTGCCCCGTGCTCAGCACCGCCGGGGTTTTGTGGTGGTGACCGGAGCAAGGCTGTGTGGAGCTCCAGCACGTGGGACCAGGATCCCTTCAGGCAGGATGGGCAGCATCAGGGAGGGGAGGATGCTCGAGGGGAGCTCGTGTGAAACCTCCCAAACTCATTTGAAACCTCCCAAACTCATGTGGAACCTCCCAAACTCATGTGGAACCTCCCAAACTGGAGGAAGGCACAGACTCGGGGAGGGCACACTGTGATGTTTTCCTCCAGGGTGGTTTGCACCACTCCAGGCTCAAACTGGGCACTGAAATCACACCGTGGCTCATGTGGGACAAGTTTAAGCTGGAAATGAGAAGGTTTTTTCTGATTTCCAACCTAAATAACTGGATATATTATGAAGATAACTTTTCTTGGAGAACCTGTGGTCTATGGGACCACCAGAATAGTTTTATGTCCTCTGAAACATTGGCTCCCAGTGACACGGCCAGCTGTAATCAAACAGTGCAAAACGTGAAAAAATAAACAGAAATCTCAGCTCAGAGAATTTGGAAATTTAACAAAAAATCTACATACCTTTCTCCACACAAAACCAAATACATTTAAAATGGTTTATTTAAAAAGTAAGGATTAAGTACATTATACATGGTTGTGATTATACCAGTAGAACTGAAGCACAGTGGAAATAACACTTTAGAACTGCAGACAGAAATGTAGCCTCAAGGGACGTGATATATTAGCCCTTGTGGATATGTGATCCATACAGAGAGAAAAGGAAATAGAAAAATAGTTTATTGTTAGATGTCTGGGCAGCTGAAGTGATTTCTCCTTTTACTCCTATTGTGTGTGGGAAACGAGGAAGAGAGAGCTCATGTTATACCTGAAACTTTGTTTCCTGGAAAATCAAATCTGATCCAATAGCATTTTTTTTTTAAGTTCTGCTGCTGCAGTATGTTATATACCAAAAGAGCAATTATTGTTAATGATATGGTTTTATGGTATCTGCAGGCCTTGCTGGGAAATGGGGCTCATTTGTTCCATGCTGTCCAGGGGAATCAGAGAGATGTGGAAGAACAGATGAGGTTTTTTTTTTTACTGTCACTGAGTGGTTTCAAAAGTCTGAGCACAATCTAACTCTGTGCAGATGGATCAGCCATGGAGCAAGACTGGTCACGGGCAGGAATGTCGCAAATGTTTCAGTTTTGTCAGAATCAAAGTTTTCCATGGGAAAGGACTGAGTTTTTGAGGTTTTGGTTGGTTGGGTTTCTTTTTTTAGTGGAATTTTCAAATGAATTTTTTTGCTTTTGRCTTTGGTTGAACAATTTACTGCACTGCAGCTGAAGTGAGATTTCAGTYGCAGCCCTCGTTCTCTGTCACGACAGAACCTCTGGCCCCTGAGATCTCCCCAGGCCTTTTCTCCCTGTCCAGACCCCATGAGCATCCCACAATCCCCGCTCCAGCTCTTGTTGAAGTTTCCTGCTGGAGAAGAAGCAGCTGCTCCAGCTTGGACCAAAACAGAGCATCACTCTTGGGGAGCTGCAGGAGCCAGCCCTGCCCTGGCAAAGACCAACATCCCAAAAACGCTCAGCGAGACTCGGCCAAAAACSCTGCACGTGCCTCAGACTGCAGGCCTGAGCTGGGCTGAAAGAAAACCTTGGGCTTTGGCTGCAATCAGATGGGTGGTTTGAAGCACATTCACCGGAGAACGACGAGAAAAAGAACAAAAACCCACGCGCGGAGCAAACCTCACACTGTCGACTTCCAGTTCAAGGTACATGGGTTTGGAGGAACAGCCTACATCTAACTCCTGGGTTTAGAGGGAATGGTTGGGTTCTTAATTACAGTAAACACGGATGAGGACTTAGTTCTAGCTATTAGTTTATTAACACAGTGGGAAACAAATAGTTCTGGGAAATTGCACTTGAAAAATACATCGACTATAATTAGATGTAAATTAATTAGCACTTAGTATGACACACTAATGAGACAGAAGGTTGGTTTGTTTTTTTTTTCATTGCAAACTTCTACTTCTATCATAGCTAATCAAAGTATTTTAATATTACGAAGTCTCAAAAAGTAGGAAATAATTTATTGTTTGAAAGCATAAAGATTCTTGTAAAAAAAACCTTTCATCAAGAACTTTAATAA